GGCTTTCAGCTAAGATCCATCGAACATCAGCTACAATATCCCCAGTACCATGACCCCTTCTTAACCCAGCCCGGACTTCTGGCAGTTCTCTGCTGAGGTGCTGTTCCAGTCGTTTTTGGATAATCATCAGTAGAACAGGATTTTAAGTTTATTTGAAACCACATTTCAATTTAGAGAAGAATTAGGAGCCCTGGTTGTATGGTAGTAGAGTACATACAGTGGCCAACTGGAAGATGAAGAATAGGAACTCATCAGTGCTCCTTAGGAAACAAGGAGGCATCAGTTTCCATAAAGATTTACAGTCACAGAAATCCTATGGGTTAGTTCTACTCTGTCATGGTCACTGAGAGAGCAATTTAACTCCACAAGGTCACTAGGAATTGAAATTAGTTTAACAGCAACAGGTTTGGTTTGTTTTGACTTAATTTGGTATTTAAATTAAATAATGTTCATTGTTTTACTGTAGGGTTTTTGTTATGTACGGTCAAGGTTGGAACCAATATATAGCTGACTCTTCAGAGGTTTTCAGAGGCAATAAATCTCACAGAAGAAGACTGCACACTTTCCTCCCACAGAGCAGCCCCTGGATTCGAAATGGTCCATTACCATCTGGTTGTAGTTGCTGTTTACCCTTGAGTTGGAACTGACTCACGGCTGACCCTGTAGCCGGTTTGCAGAAGCAGTAATCACACAGGAGGAGCTAGTCCATCCTTCACCCACGGAGAAGCTGGTTTATTTGAAGCACATGCCTTTGGGATTGCAGTGCAGTCTGTTTTGTGTTTTTTTTTTATTCTAATGTGACGTAACCTGAAAGCATTTTCCCTCCCTTCTTGCTCCCCAGTCCACTTGCAATGCAGGAAGCATCAAAAGAAGACAGAATACGTAGAGTCACTTTACCAAAAAGAACTGGTCAAAACAGAACTAGCATATAGCTGCACTGGAGGCAATGGCAGAAATCAGGCTCCGAGAATTGACACACTAGAAATTGAGATCTGTTAGTACACAGAACAATGCTGGATGTGCTTGCTTGCCTGTGCTAAGAAGTTTGGAAGACCTGAAAACTGACTGGAAGAGATCTGTATTTGTCTCCATTACCCTAAAAGTAATCTAACAGAAAGTTGAAATGATAAAAAAAATATCCTTACAATCATACTCAAGTAAATCTTATGTTGTTGTTTTATGCCATAGAGTCACCTACAACTCATAGTGATGCTATATGCAACAGCTCTAAGCCTTGTCCTATCCTGAGCCAATTTCATTGTCTCCAACACACCTACCCCCATTTACCAGTGACTAAGTCAATCTATCAATCTACTATCTCATGCAGGTTCCTCCTCTCTTGCACTGAGCCTCCACCCTTCTAAAGCTTGTTGCTCTTCAGTACTCTAGAGAGGTCCTTGACAGCCAATTTTCCAGTGCAATTCATATTTTGATTACCTTAATGCTCGCACCAAGAATGTTGATTGTGGAACCAAGCAAGCTGAAGCTGTAACAATCTCCATCTCTTCCCCATCTATCATGATGCTGCCAACTGGCCCAGTGGTGAGAATTTTTGTTTTCTTGATGCTGAGCTTCAATCCATAATGAAGACTTAAGTCCTTACCCTTCAGCAGCAAACACCTCAGGTCCTCCTCAGTTTCAGCAAGCAGGGTTGTGACATCTGCATTACACAGGTTGTTGATGAGTCTTCTTCCAAATCTAATGTTACATTCCTCATAGAGGTCAGCCTCCTGGATAATCTGTACTGCATACAGACTGAAAAATTATGGAGATAGGGTATATCTTTGACATACAGCTTTTCTGATTTTGAACCATACAGTGCTTCCTTGCTCTGTTCTAACGACTGCCTCCTCATCCAAGTATAGGTTTTGCATAATCACAATCAAGTGTTGTGGGATTCCTATTCTTCTCAAGATTAGATACATTTGTTGTGATCTCCAAAGTCAAATGACTTTGCATAGTCAATGAAACACAGATAAAAATTCTTTTAGTACTCTCTGCTTTCAGCTAAGAACCCTCTAACACTGGCATCTTTAGTGCCATGGTCTCTTCTAAAACAGCTTGCACATCTGGCACTTCTCTGTCCATGTACTATTCCAGTCGTTTTTTGGTAATTTTCAGCAGGATCTTGCTTGTGTGAGATATGTGTGATATTAGTGATTTTGTTTGATACTTTCCACACTCTATCAGATCCCCCTTTTATTTGGAATTGGAATATATATGGATCTCTTTCAGTCAGTTGGCTAGCTAAGTGTCCTCCAGTTTTCTTGGTATAATCTGTGGTAAGTGCATCAGGACAGCATCTGTTTGTTGAAATATGTCAATTGGTATTCTATCAATTCCTGGGGCTTTGGTTTTTGCCAATTTCTTCAGAGCAGCTTGAACTTTCTCCTTCTTCACCATTGGCTTTTGATCAGATATTTTAATTAAATTCTAGTTACTGAAGATTATTTAAAAATGCCGGAGCACTATATTAGCAGGGAACTGGCAGAAATTCCAGCAGGTTTCATGTGGCTATGGAGCAAAGAATATCACTGTTGATGGCAGAGGATCTCAGTTGAAAGCAAAAAATGCCAGAAAGATCGTTACTTGTGTGCCAGAAAGATCTTTACTTGTGTTTTGTTTACTATGCCAAGGAATTCTGACTGTGTGGATCTTAATAAGTTACAGATATCATTGAGAAAAATAGAAATCCCAGAATATTTAATTGGAATAATTAAATGGGAAAGCTGTACATACCATGAAGCAGTTGTCAGAACAAAACAAGGGGACACTGCATCATTTAAAATCAGAAAAGGGTGTGTCAGGATTGCATCCTTTCTCCATACTTATTTCATTTGTATGCTGAGCAAATAATTTGAGAAAATGGATATATAAAGAAGATTGTAGCATCAGGATCGAAGGAATACTCACAAACAATCTGCATTAGACAGATAATATCATTTGCTTACAGAAAGTGAGGATGACTTGAAGCACTTACTGTAAATCAATGGCTACAAATGTCAGTATGGATTACATCTCTAGGTCAAGAAAATACATCTCACAATTGAGCAAAAGGGCTACATCATGATAGATGGAGACAATATTGAAGTTGTTAGAGATTTCATTTTCCTTGGATCAACAATCAACACCCTGGAGAAAAGTAATCTAAAATCCCAAAAGACATTTTATATTGGATAAACCAGCTGTCAAAAACCTCTTCAAAGTGCTAAAGAGCAAGAACATCAGTTTAAAGACTAAAGTAAAGCTGACCAAAGCCACAGTATTTTCCATTGCTTCATATACATGTAAACTCAGACAATGAAAAAAGAAGACCAGGAAAACATGGATGTCTTTGAATTGTGTTTGTGAAGAGGATTGACTATACCATGAACTGACAAAGGAACAAAAAAGTCCATCTTGGATGTTCAAGTGCAACTAGGTTGCCACTTAGGGGCAAAGATGATGGATGAAACTTCACACCATATTCTCTGACCATGTCAGGAAGTCCTCAGAAAAAGACACTTTGGGAAAGATAGAGGATCAGAGAGAGGGAGGCAGATCCTCATTAAGATGGGTTGTGACACAGTGGCTGCAACAGTGGAATTGAGCATGACTGAGACTGCAAGAAAGGTGCAGGAGAGGACAGGATTTGTATTTGTTTTTCAAAGTGTTGTTATGAGTCATAATCTACTTGCCAGTATGTAAGAAGAAGTCTTAGTAATTCAAAGTCATGGCCTGAGAGGCTTAACATGCAGTGCTTACCACACTGCATGTCCAAAGGAGACATTCCAGGCATGTTGCATAAAAATATAAATGGATGGATGAGTGTGACGAATATTAATAATAAAATAGTAATGATCTTTTCTAATATCTTTCTACACTGAATTATAGCATTACTAATCACTGCATTATTAGTAACGGAACAGAAGACTCTTCCTTATTCTTCCTCTTTTCCTTTACTACATAATTTTAAAAAGAAAAAATTATAGACATAGGTTCACAAATGCTAATTACCACAATACTTTAGTTAAATCACCAAAACCCTTTAGAAATTCAGCAATAAACACTGGTAGGAATGGAAACAACCATAGATGCTTCTAGCACATGCAGATGAAACCACGTGATTTAGAGCTTTGCTGTGACTGAGTGATAAAGACAGCTCTGGCCGGAGAACATTAGAAGGTTCACCTAGAAGTTTAATTAGGATAGAAGCTTAGTTTTGTAGAGATACCAGTACATTTAAGTTGGGTTTGTGAAAAATGTTTTAGTTGTTAAATAATTTTTTTTTTCTGAAACACTGCACAAATATATATTACAGGAGTCATGCTGGTGACATATCGCTGTGTGGTCTAAACCATCGCACTCTTATAGTGATACCGCCAGAAGACATTACAAATAAAATGCATCTTTGATTCAGAAATCATAACAGTTTTTTAGAAATATGAGACATCAAAATTATTCTTGCCAAATTGTACATAATTCTTTGGCACTAGAGACCCTGGAAAGCATGTGCTGTCAATATGTCTGGTGTTTTACAGTTCGTAGTTAAGGTCTTAGCCAGTTTTAGATGCTGAAAAAGAATGAGAGAGGAATATAACCTGAGCCACTCATTATATTAAAATCAATTGTTAAGAACCAGACACTGACTTCACCATTAGGTTTGCTGAGAATTGTTGTGCAATTCGGGCTTGTTACAAACTTATTTTGCTCCTTCCAAAGAAAATCTGAGGGAGGCTGATGTGTTGCTTCAGACGCTGCTGCCCACACCTGTAAGAAAAAGAATGTTGATGCCAATGTGGTTGGGTGTTCCAAATCACTTTGAAATATCATAGGGTTATTGTAACATAATACTCTGAGTAGATGAGGTTTTAAGATGTGATAAAATTATATAATGTCAAGCTGTACAATATTAAACAGCAACTATAAGTGGTCTAAATTGAATCACAAGGAACAAGTGCATGGGGGGGGAGCAGGCTCTCCAAAATCCAGGAAGTGCTTGTCCTCTAAGCAAGTAATTTCTGCTTTTGTTATAAGTATTGTTTGCTTATGACATTTTAGTAGTTAAATTTTAAAAGCAGAATGTATATTCTGAACCAGTTGAAGAAAGCTGTGGTGAGTTGGTTCTAGGTATTTATTGATGGTGAGAAGGTCAGCGGCATGGCACAGTTAATCCACTACAACTGTAACAACCACCACAATCTCATTTTCAGCCCAGATCTGGTAATGAAGAAAGTACTGGTGCAGAGCTGCTATCTGATAATATAAATGAGTTTTTAACCTATAAAATTACAGATGACAATATTTATACCTTCTACTCACCGTTACTGTGGAATTGGCCTGTACTATAACATTTGGAAGAAATCTATACAAAGAAACGGTCTGGCCATTCACCTTCTGCTGGAGGATATGATCTCCAATATCCAATTCTTTATCATGAGTGGAATTAATGAACTTCACAAATAAACCCTTGGTGTTCACATCAACTATTTTAATATGCCAGATAGCACTAGAGAATAAAACAAAGATTTAAAAATGCTTTCAGATCAAGTGATTAGCTCACTTTAAGAAATGCAAGAGAAATATGCTTTAAAAGTTGTTGCTAAAGCTGTATGTTCTATTGGAGAAGTTGCGTGTGGAAATCATACATTATATAATGGGAAAGAAATATCTTGCTCTCTTATTACGTTTGCTTCCCCTCCTCTTTATGTGCAATAAAATTCTGAAATAAAATCATTAAAGAGAAGATAAAACAGACCTTAAGTTTCAATGTATAAATGCTGTACAAAAGTGTAATTATCATTATCTAAAATGTTTATGTTCATTTAAAATCACTGAGACATGAAACTCAGAATTAGCCAAAGAGATAAGTTCAATCATTTGGATCTCAGAGTCTTTATTTCTGATGATGTTACTGTGAAAATAAATAGCAGTTGTGTGTTCCTTGCTCTGTGTGGACAATCACAATTGTTTGGAGATTCCCATTATTTTTAACGTTATCCATAGTTTATTATGATTCACCCATCAAATGCCTTTTCATAGCCAATACAACAAAGACATTCTTCTGGTATTCTTTGTTTTCAGCAAGAATCCATTTGATATCAACAATGATATCACAGTGCCACAGCCTCTTCTAAACCCAGGTTGAATTTCTGGCACTTCTCTGTCAATGAACAATAAAATCTACCCATTTTTTTATTATATCCAGCAATAATTTGTTTGCATGTGATATTAATGATATTGTGCAAGATTTCCCACATTCTATTGGATTACCTTTCTTGGGCATGGGTAAGATCTCTTCCAGTCAGTTGTCTAGGTAGTTGTCCTCCAAATTTTCTAGCATAGACTGGTGAGCATATACAGAGCTGCACCTGTTATTTGAAACCTGTAAGTTGGTATCCCATTGATTTCTGGGGCCTTATTTTTTACCAATGTCTTCAGTGCAGCTTCAACTTTTTTCTTCATTACCAATGGCTCTTGATCATATAGTACTTCTTGAAATATTTCAGTGTCAACCATATCTTTTTTTGTACAATGACTCTGTGCATTCCCCCCATCTTTTAAAAAAACTTTTAAAATTACATTTTATTGTTTTTTTAATGTGTGCACCATCAAATTGGATCTGACTGGAACAGGAGGAGATTGTCCCTCCTTCTCCAGCAGAGCATCTGGTAGATTCGAACCATGTACTTCTGGGATTGTAGTGCGGCTTTTTGCCACTAGGTCCCTCCATCTTCTTTTGATGCTTTCTGGCTCATTTAAGATTTTCCCCATAGCATCTCTCCGTATTGCAACTCGAGGCTTGGATTTGGTTTTCAGTTCTTTCAATTTGAGAAGTGCTGGGCTAGTTCTTCCCTTATTAGTCTCTAATGCCAGCTCTTTTCACTTTGTTTTGTCTTCTTGAGCTGCCCTTTGAAATCTTCTGTTCATCTCTTTTATTTCAGCATCTCTTCTCTCTCTCTCTCTCTCTCTCACACACACACACACACACACACACACGTATAATTTACTGTCACTAAGAAAATGAGTGCTCTCCAACCACATCTGGGACTGTAGTTCTCCATATACCAAGCTTGCACCATTAGCTCTTTCCACGATGCTATTTCTCGAATCTCAGTCCCTTATCTCTACTCTTATTCACCATCGAGGATTTCACTAGGATAATAGAGCCATCAGGAAAACTGCAGTCTCTTCCTACTCCCTCCCCCCCATCCATAGACAGGCTCACCCATCCCTACACTTACCTTCTCCCTGATCAAGCCACCCTATTTCAGTGGAAGAGGGTGCCCTGCTCTCAACATGAGATCTTGATGTTCACGGTCTTAGTCCATTCCTTATCCTCCTTTCTACTATACCAACCTCCCCCCATAGACTAAAACTTTTCCTCTCAAACACGTACGTATCCTCAAAATATTACCAACTTGAATAAAGAAAAGAAAAACCCACACAGCCTTATTCAAGTTTATAAGTCACACTGAAATCACAGCTAAGCTTCTGGAAAGAATATGTTACTAAATCCTCAACTTGTTAGCCCATAATCATCTTATCCAAGAACTCAAAATAACCAGTATACTCCTAGTTGGTAAATTGAGTTATAACTTTTTAGTTTTTGTAGTCTTTGTCTCTGTAAAGTCCTCCTATAGATTATCAAAGCTTTCCTCTTACCAGGCTGGTTATTTAAGTCTCTTTTTCATGTTTCTTACCCTTTACTTATATTTTTGATGTTGGCCGCTGGGAGTCTGTCTTTTGTTTTGTTTTGTCTTCATCCTATTTTGTACCACCTATGTATGAGCAGAGCTCCAGTAACCATATACTACACTACATCTATGACTGCTATATCAACATCGCTCACTTGGACCTTTCTGCTAAGCTTCAAAGCCATTATTGTTGTTGTTGTTGTTATGTGCAGTCAAGTTGATCATGACTCATACCAACTCTATGCAAAATAGCTCTGAACCCTACTCTATTCTGGCCAATCTTACTGTCTCTGAAACACCTAACTTTATTAACCCAGTTACAGTGTAAATCCATCTCATCTATAGTTTTCCTCTCCTGTGCTGTTCCTCCACTCTTCCAAGCATGCTATCCTTCTCCAAGGACTGGTCCCTCCTGGCAACATGCCCTAAGTATGTGACACAGAGCCTTAAAATCCTTGCCTCCAAAGAACTGTTTGGCTTCACCCTCTCTTGGACAGACATGTTAGTTTTCTTGGTAGTTCATGGTATGTTCAAGACTCTTCTCTAGCATCACAATCTAAAGGCATCAATTCTTCTTCCATCCTCTTTGTTCATTGTCCAGTTCTCTGATGCATTACAGGTAATTAAAAAAATCATGGCCTGGATCAAGTGCACTGTACTGTCTTGACTGATATCATTGCTCTTTAGGACTCTGGAGAGGTCCCTGATAGCAGATTTTCCTAATGCAACTCATCTTTTAATTTTCTGACTGCTGGTGCCAGGAGTGTTGATTGTGGATCCGAGCAAGCTGAAATTGTTAACAATCCCATTTTTTTCTCCACCTATTATCATGCTGTCAATTTGCCTAGTTGTGAGAATCTTCATTTTCTTGATATTGAACTTCAAATCAAATTGCAGACTATAGTAATTGACACTCTGCAGCAAATCATTAGTCTCTCCTCAGTTTCAGAAAGCAAGGTAGTGTTATAATCCAGGTTGTTGATGAGTCTTCTCCAGTCCTGCTGCCATATTCCTCCTCAAAATGTCCAGCCTCTTGAATGATCTGTTTTACATACAGATTAAAAAGGTATAAAGACAGGATATATCCCTGACACACTCTTTCTGATTTAGAACCATGCAGTGTTTCCTTGCTCTGTTTTGACTACTGCCTCCTGGTGTCACATGAGCACAATCATGTGTTCTGGGATTCCCATTCTTCTTAAAATTAGCTACAATTTGTTACGATATACACACCCAAATGCCTTTGCATAGTCACTGAAACACAGATAGACATTCCACTGGCACTCTTCAGACCCATAGCAACATCCACAAAGCTCTAACTTCACTGAGTTGAGTTGACTCCAATCATAGTAAGCCTCACTCCTTTGGGTTATCAAAGTTGTAATTTTTACCAGAAAGGACTTTCTATCTTTCAGCTGATGAGTAAATTCAAAGTACTCACCTTTTGGTTAGAAGCCCAGGATATTGCACACTACTCTTTGTTGTTTTATTTATCATCAAGTCAGAACCAACCCATAGATGACCCATAGTGGATTTTCAAAGGTAGTAAATTGCATAAGAGGGGTCTCCCATGGAGCAGCTGGTGGATTCAAACCATCTACCTCTGGGTAGACAGTACAGTTTCTTAAAATTTGTTGTTAAGTGCCACAAAGTAAAGCACAATTCATGGTGACCTTATGAAAAGCCACCTCAACCCTGCCCTGTCCTGTGCCATCCTCATCATATCATTCACCCTACAGCCCATTGCTTATATCACTGGTCAATCCATTTTCCTCTTTTCACTGACCTTTCCTTTTTCCAAGCATCTTGATCTTTTCCAAAGAATAGTCTTGCTTATATGCATGTCCAAAATATCCAAGATGAAGCTTCACTATCTTTCTTTCCAAGAAGCACTCTGGCTGCACGTTTCCCAAGACCTGTTTATTCTAATAGCAATCCATGGGATATTCAGTACCCTTCTCCAGCACTACAACTCAAAGACATCAACTATTGTTCTGTCATTCATTGTCCAGATCTCTCTAATGTGTAGCAGGTAATCTCTAAATCAACATGACTCACAGTGAACTCCCTATTTTGGCATGAGGTAGACTTTCTTCCAAATACAAAATCTGTCTCAGTGAATTGCACTATGACTTACCCCTTTGGCCAAATCTTAAACTTTCATGTATTTCTTTTTCTCTTATGTTCACACCTTAGTAGTGTATGTTCTAATGAGTCAAACTCTTAGTGTCCTCTATGTGTGTCTTTTCTTTATCTCTATTGTTGTTGTCATTAGGGTCTTGTCATCTCTGTGGGATGCTCTAATAGCCTACTAACCGGTTTCTCTCTCAGTCTCCAGTCTCATGCCTATTTAACAATTCTCTATTTCCAGAGCAATCTTTGACTAATTCACACATGACATTGCTTCTTCTTTGTTGGAAGTCTTGCAGTGTCCTACCATTTCTGTCCAGATAAAATACAGGTTCCACAGCATGGAAGCAAAGCCCTATATAATCTGTCAGGTCTCTTTAAGCTTCTTTACTCACCCCTAGTTTCTGCCTTATGTTAAACTACACCATAGAGAATGTCTTGCAAGATCTGTGCTATTACATGATTCTTCACTGCTTGCACATATTCTCTTTTCTTATTCATCATAGATTTATCAACACTTGACATTTTTAGACATCTTATTTTTTCCATATGATAGATAAAAAATAGTAGCTCAAGATTCACCAAGTTTTCTTCTGCTGTGTAAGAATTTTGTCCACTTTTTGTAGGATTGTCTTGTATGTTATATGCACTTATCTTCTGGAAGACATAGTCTTTTAACTATGTCTATAATCTTTCTGTGATGTCAAAAGTCTGAAGTTTTACAATTTTTGTTGTGGTTAATCTTATTATTTTCTTAACAGTTTTTTTCCCCTATGTTGGCCAAAATAAGAATTTCCTTTCCTTTATGATTTATTTTCTTTAAAATATTTTAACTATTTGCTCTCAGTTTTAACTTGTAAGCATAAAAAAAAAGTATCTATTTATATGAATGGGAGGGATAGGGTGAAGATGGAAAATGGGGTGAGACGCAGTATACCGCAGTGATGCGGGGGTTAAATCCTTGGCTGTTGTTATGTGGCATTGAGTTGCTGATGACTCATAGTGGCTATATGTAAAACAGCTGTGAGCCCTGCTCTATCTTGAGCCTATTTCATTGTTTTCAACATACTTGTCCTTGTTACCCCAGTCACTGAATCAATTCATCTCATCCAGTGTCTTCCCTTCTTGTGTTGTCCCTCCACCCTCCCAAGTATGATGTCTTCCAAGGACTGGTTCCTCATGGCAACATGCCCCAAGGGAAGAATCAGAAGATGATGAAAGGCGTTCACAGAATCACTATACCAAAAACTACTGGCTGACACAAAAGAATTTCATGAATCCTTGGCTAGTGACCAGATAATTCTAGGTTTGAACTCACCCGCTGTTCATGAAAGAATGACATGACAATATATGACAGTCTTTCCCCAGGAACTTTATGGGCAGTTCTTCCTGTTCTGTAGTATTGCTTATTGCTATGAATTAGAATTGACTCAATGACCCACAAAACTCTCCGTCTCTCTCATTTTCATTGCCGTCAAGTCAGAAGTGATTCATACCTGAACCTCGCACAGGTTTTTGGAGGCTATAAATTTCATGGGAGGAGTTAGCCCATCTAGTAGATTCAATTGAACTGTGGGTTAGCAGTGCAAGTCTCTACAGCTATGCAGCTGGAGTTCCCTCATATATGAGGAGGGGGGAATGTGAGGGGTGTATGTATCTCTATATGTACTTTTCTTGTCATTATGTAGCATCAAGTTCAAACCGACCCATAGCTGACATTCCAGCGGGTTTTCAGAGACAGTTACTTGCAGCGATGGAGATTGCCCATCGTTCTCCTGTGGAGAAGCTGGTGGTCTCGAACTGCTTGCCTTCAGGATTTCAGCACAGTTTCTTGCCACTAGGCCATAATTAAATATGCCACCATCTCTGATGATTTGTAGTGCCATATTGTTCGGTTTATAGCTTATAAGATTTACTTTACATGGTAAAGGGATTTGCAATTCTAATTAATATGAAAGCAAGCTCTGGTAGCCTAGTGGTAAGAAGCTGCACTGCAATCCCAAAGGCTTGAGGTTCAAATCCACCAATATGTCAGCATCTCTCTCTGATGATTTGTGACTTAATCTGCTTCAGTGCATACTGACTAACTGTGATATTTAATTTACCTGGTAAAGGGATAGGCAGATGTAATTAATATTACAGATTTTAAATTGGGATACACTCTTGGATTACCCAGGTATGTTCAATCTAGTCAGATGACTCCTTAAATGTAGAGAATGCTCTCCAGCTGAAAGCAGACATGGCGATTCAGAATCCAGACCTGCTTTATCTAGCTGAGCTGCAGGGGTTCAGATGCTAGGTCATGAGTGCTATATCCAGGAACTATAATCGTATGGAACTGAGGTTGGTTAACAACAGAAGCAGATTCTTCCCGAGAGTCTCAGGTAGGAGCTCCACTGGCCAGCGTTTTGATTTCAGCATTATGAAACTCCATATAGAGAAACCAGATAAAACTTCTAATGCACAGAACTATAAGGTAATCAATTACTATTCTTTCTATTATGGCAAAGATAGACAATAATATAATCTATTTAGAAATTTTAGAACAGTTTATCACAAATGGAATCCAATTGTAATTTCAGTTCTAATTCCCTAACAGGGTATTATCCTAATACCCTGTCATCTATTTTTCTCTTAACAACTACTATTTACGCATTGATATGTAGTAGTTTGTTTACTTTGATGATTGCATATTGTTTAGCTGCTTTTAGGATGCTTTTTGAAGTTTTCTACCACTGAAATATAGTTTGCTGAACTTTAGAGTTTTAGTTCTTCCAGCTTTTTTCTAAAATTGTTTATTCAGTTTGGTCCCTGTGTGTGTGGTGAGGTAAAGGGCAGATGAAGATATTAAGTATTTAGTATTCAGAGTTTAAAAGATAAACCTGAAAAAGATTCCGAGAACTTGATGCAGTCCATTTGTTCTAAATGGGAGTAGCCAACACACCTGGGCGTTTTGATCTTTCATATAATGAGGAGGGAAACTCGTATTTTATTACCAACAGGTTCTACTTCACACGTAAATGATAAAGTAGTCCATTTTTTGGATGCTGTGAATAGTGTTGCAATGAATACCAGGGTTCAAGTTTCTATTTACATTTCTGCTTTCCATTCTGGGTATATAATGTGAATTGGTGATTTGGTTTATATGTTAACTCTATGTTCAATTTTCCTAAATCTCTTTATTTTTTTCTTTTTTAAATTGTGAATTTTACAAACGTTTACAAAAAAGGTTGAATTTTCATGCATTAATTATTGCAAACTTTTCTCCCTAGCCCCTCAACTTCACTTTTTTTCTTCTTTTTATATGTTCACTTTTTTTTTAAGAGCAGCCAAACTGGTCTCCACAGTGGCTGTACCATTTTACATACCCATCAGCAATGGAGGAGGGTGCTAGTTTTTTCACCATCTCACCAACTGTTTCCTGTTTTTGATAATTGTCATTCTAGTAGGAGTGAAGTGTTATCTAATCATAATTTTGCTATGTATCTCTCTGAGAGACACATCATGCTGAGAAAAGCAGAAGGCCAGAGAAAGTGAGAAAGACCTGCAACTAGAAGGTTGACACAATAACTGTCACAATGGGCCTGAGGATATCAGAGATCATGAGAATTGCGCAGTATAGGATAAGGCTCAGATCTACTCTTCATAGGATCTCTTATGAGTCATAGTCAACACAATGGCATTTTACAACAATGATAATAACTAATGAGGAGGTTCTGGTGGTAGTCTGTAAATTGCACTGTTAACCAAATGCTGCATATCTCACAGTTTTGACTCCACCAGTGACAATGGGAGAAAGATGGGCAGTGTCTTGCCTTTGCAAACCATAGTTTTGGAAACCTGGTGGAGGCTTATGAACCATGGCCGATTTAAAGGCAGTGAGTTTGAATAGCTAATGAAGGAAGATCAGCAGTTTTAACCACCTGCCTCAGGAGAAAGATGGGAAATCTTATCCTGTAAAGGTTAGAGCCTTGAAAGTTATGGAGGGTTACTGACCATATGGTCGTGGATTTCAGTTTTCCATCTGCATGTTGACTATAATCTCTGGTGAAATATCTGTTCAGATCCTTTGCCCCTTTCTATTGTTTTTCCTTATTAAGTTGTACAAGTTTTCTGAAATACGTTGGATATTAGAATCTCAACAGATGTATGGCTCCTAAAATGTTTCTTCCAATATTTAGGCTGTCATTTCATTTTTTTTAAAGAGCTGGTAAACAAGATTATTTCATTATGTCCAATTTCTCTATCTTTTGCTACTTGTGCTTTTATTGTCCTATCAGATAATCTTTAAAAGCACTCTCACAATAGATAATTCCTATTTTAGAACAGATGAAGGGAAGGTCAATCTGAAATGATAGACAATCAGACGTTATGTGTATTGCAAACAATGACTTGGGATAGAGCATTCTTTATGGATTCAATGGGGGTGGGGGAGGAATAAAGGAGGGAAAAATAAACAGAGGTGGGTGAAGGGAAGAGCAATATGTAATTAGCAAATCCTTAGATATTATAATAAATTAATTGCATCAATTAATGGTAAATATTGCTTATGAATCATTGGAAAAAACTAATGAGATTTGTTAACTTTCACTCAAATAGATTTTTTTTAAAGAGGCAGCCCCACATTACACCTATATATTTCCTAAGATTTATATAGTTTTAATTTTTATATTAAGTCTTTGATTAATTTTTAATGCTTTTGAACAATTGCTTTTGCTCACACAGAACATGAAATAGTTATGTTTCAACAAATTGCTAAGACTTTTAGATAAAATTATGACTCTCCAACAAATTAGAGCTTCATTGCCTAATGATTTATGGTCCTATCCCAATAGAAGACATGAAATAGTTGAAACAGAATGTGTACCTGGATCTAAAGTGACCCACTTCATCAAAAATTATGGAAAAGTCCTTCTCAATTTTCTCCGTGTGGCTTGAATGTGCACCAAGTTTCACTGAATCACCAAACAAAGAGTGGAAGTAGTCTTCGCCTTCCCCAGATACGGCTGCAAGAGAGTGGTTTCTTTAGAACAATGAGAATGCTGCCTCCCCTCAGAGAAATTAAAGAGGGAAGCAAATGAGAAGTAAAAAAGTAAAAAGAAAAGAATATACTAAGAAACACATACATCAAAAACTCAAATCACTTACCATTTTCCCTTGCTTCTGCAAAACCATTTTTATACATTTTACTGTAATTTTCAGATTCATTGAGGATAATTAAAAGTTTTAAATATGGTCAATAAAATAACAACCAGTGTGTAAATATCTTATGGACCTATTAGATTCCTAGAGATTTATTAGTTATCTTAAACTGTCACTTGTATTACCAGCATATTTTATCAGACAAATTACTTAGTGGTACTGATTGAAACTTTATAAAATTTTGAGTAGCTAAAATGTTTGTGTCTCCCTGATTTATTTATTTTATCTATACACATAGCTTTGCTGTATTGGGCTCTTAGTTATTCTGCCCACATTAATAATTGCTACCAATGAATTAATGTCTCAGATGAATCTTTCCTTCCTATATTTAGTGTTTGAGTTTTTGTTTGTTTTGTGTGTTTTTTTGAAGGAAAAGACTTACATTTTCTGTAGGTAATATATTGTATTAAAAAGCTAAATTAATATTTACTCAGATTCTAATGTCCCTTTGAACATTTGTTCTTCTGAAATTCTTACCAGAAAGGTTCAGATATTGAATAGGTCTTGTGGTTCTTCATAGACATATGCTGGATTAATTTAGACTATGGAGAGGCAATCTGGTGGTTGTGAAGACCAATGCTAGGATACAGTTGTGTCCCAGTTCTGCTGCTTAGAAAGCTAAAATGATTTAAACTTTCCATATATCACTTTTCCTGAACTTATGTTTAAGGAATTGTAAGAAGTAATGCAAGATGGGCAATCTCCTCCTATGCAAGGTACTACCTCTGAAAACTTCTAGAGCGTCAACTATGATCCAGTTCCGACCCAATGGGACACAACAAAAACATTATTGCAGTATATTGTTATGTGCTGTTGAGTCGCCTGTGCCTTATAGTGACTCTCAGTACAACAGCTCCGAACCCTGCCCTGTCCTGAGTCTACCTACTCGTCTCTGCTAGACCAAATCCCACATCTTCAGTCACTGAGCCCGTCCATCTCATTCTGGGTCTTCCTCTCCTGCACTGTCCTTTCCAAGTATGATATCCCTCTCCAAGGACTGGTCCCACCTAAAGACATACCCAAAGTATGTCAGACAGCTCTTCAAAATCCTATCCTCCAAGAACTGCTTGGTTTTACCCTCTCTGGGACTTAACTTTTTGTTCTTCTGGCAGTCCATGGTATGTTCAATACTCTTCTCCAGCATCACAAGAAAGAAGCTTTGATTCTTCTGCCATTATCCTTATTGTCCAGCTCTCTAATGCATAGAAAGTAATTGCAAAGACTATAGCCTGTATTAGGCACATGTTATTCTCCTGACTGATATCATTGCTCTGTAGTACTCTAGAGAAGTCCCTGATATCTGACTTTTCCAATGCAATTTGTATTTTGTTTTATTTACTGCTGATGCAAAGAGTGTTGATTTTGGAACCAAGCAAACTGAGGCTGTTAATAATTTCAGTATAAGTTATAGATTGCAATATAAGATATAGTTAATCTGATGCTAGCTCTAATAATATAGAAAGTTGACTGAAATAATTTAGAGTTTGATTTAAATTCTTATACATTTAACAAAACCAATGTACAGGATAAAAGATATAAAAATGGATGGTATGTGAATTTCTAAAGATAATGTCTCAAATTGTTCTATTTAGGAGAATGTTGGGAATCAGACTAGCTCACTTAAGCTAAATGAGTAGCAACCCTGGAATTTCTTTGGGAAAAGAAATACTTAGGATCCTTCATAGAACCCATCTTGAAGACTAAATGACCACATTTCAAAAGGGGGGGGGAAGATCATATTCGGCCTTAGTTGTAATGCACTAAATGCATCAATTCTCAATAGACCCAGTCACCCATATGTAAAAATAAACTCTACAATAGCTGAAGGTGATGAATATATCCAGTTCATTTTCATCTTGCAAGGGGAAGCTGCCATATTATTTCTCATCACTTTCCAATGCAAGGAGCTTTTGCAGTTTAAACCAAATGCAGAACATATGTCACGATGATGTAATGCCAAACAAAACTCCTTCCATCTTAAATTTGTATTTGTGTTTTGAAGTACAGATTGTTAACTGTAGAACACTATACACTTTAAAAATAAGGCTTCTTTGAATGAACTTTAGGGAATATTGATCATAATGGCAATAGGACAAAAACATATTGCTTAGTTAAGACTTAAAAAAATGCAAGGAGCAAAATGAATAGAGAAATAGTCATGTTATTGATGTCTATAAAATGACCGAAGAATAAAAAGGCACCAGATAATCATGGGAAGGTTTTTAGCTCACTGCCTTTGGACCTTCTTGGCTGATAGGTTAATTAAAATACAAATTCTAAATCTAACCTAGTACAAGAGAAGGTGTTTATGAGTGTGCTCAGATTCACAACTAACTTTCACTAAGTACTCTGCTTAACTTTGTGTTAGGTTCTTCCAAGGACCATGCTTGCTTTTGGTTAGCTTGTGGTGGTTGGTTTTTTTTTCCCTTCCTTCTCATTAAACCATGTTAAAATACTTTCAAAGTCCATTCAATATGATACAGAACAAAAAATCAGGTGAACTTGCATTATCGGTAGCCATCAGAATGTTACTTTTTTTCTATCATAATGCCATTTTTGTTTTCCCTCTTCAAGTTATTCCTAGGGTTTCCCCTCTTCCCTTCACTATTTTTTTCCATATTCTTGTTTTCTCTTCCCCTACCCCTCATTGAAATATGCTTTCCCTTACATCAGCCATAAGTTTTCTAAAGGTGCACTATACATGTGTTATTGTTGTTGTT